TCTCTCCCCACCCTCACTTCACTCCCAGCACCTCCCTCAGAGGGAAAATGAGTTTCTGTCATAGAAATGGCATGTGGGTGTGATTTCCCATCAGCTCCCACCCCATTTCCATTCCACAGTGTAAAATTGCATCTTTGCCTGTGCTCGGTTGTTTACAGCAGCACTATTCCCATCAGCCCCAAATTGGACATTACCCAAATGCCCATCAACAATGGAGTGGTTGAGTCGATTACAGTACATCTACCCAATGAAATACTAGGCAGCAATGAGAACAAACAGTCTACAACCACATGCAATAATTTGGATGAATCCCATGAACATGATGTTGGTCAAAACAAGCCAGAATCAAAAGAGCACATACAGTAGGCTTCCATATGAAATTGCTCAAAGACAGTTGGGTGTTGGCAATCCATCAGCTTCAATCTCATATAAAGTACAAAACAGGCAAATGGCAGGACAGTGGTTGTTCACAGTTGAGGAGATGTGACTAGAAGGGGACACACGGGGGGCTTCTGGGGTTGTTATTTTCCTATTTCTTGATCCTTGCTGGTCCTACAAGTGTGTTCAGTTTGTGAAAATATATCTATATTTATGATACATGCACTTTTTTGTATGTATGTAATACTTCAATTAAAAATTTTTCTTTGGAAAAACAAATGACAGGGGGATGCCTCTCCTTGCCTGGGGTGGCATCCACAGCCCTAGTTCCTGATTCTAGCAGGAGGATCATGGTCATGACTTTCAGGAAGTGATATTTACTTGGGGGGTCCAAGGAGGAGGCCCATGTAAGCTCTCAGCATGTAGCTTTCTTCCAGTTCAGACTTTGTGATGTCTGTGGTTTGGGGGCATAGCGATTTCGTTGTTTCATCAGCCGACGTGACTGCCCTACATCTGTAGTTGGTGTTTTCGAGGGAGGGCAGTAGAACGGAAATGCTCCTACTCCACCATCTTCAGTAGGAAGTCAGGATAGATTCCTGAACCCACTGGCATGGGTGTTGTTGTAAAGAAACGGGCCTGACTTTCTTAACTAAGTAAAATGCTGGTACTTGTTGAGACCCCTTTAGAGTGATTGCCTTGAAGGACAACATCCAGAGTGGCCAGTGCTCAGCGTCAATGGCCATCTCCTGAGTTCTGCTCCACTCGCCGGGAGCTTCCCTGTGGAAATGTTGGGTGTGACGTTTATGCTTTATGGTCACACCCTGTCTGAGGAGTGTGTCTCTTCTCCCCGCACTCCTGGAAGCAAGTGACAATCTCTCGTCACCCTGCTCCTGCCCCACCCCCGGCACTGAACTTCGTGGGTGCTCAGCTGCAGGGAATGGCCGCATCTCAGCCTTGAGCACCATCCTCTCCTGAGGCCAGTGGCTGTAGGGTGGCCTCGGTGTGTTTACACCAGCCCCAAACACAGGATGTGGCACGACAGTGCAGGGGCACACCGATGGGAGGTCACTTGAATGGTGTGGCACGTTGGTGCCTCGGGGCCTTTGCTCGGCTTGTACTGTTCCTTCTGGAGCACGTCCTCCTTGCATCTACTCATCCTGGGGTTCCAGGAAGCCCCGCTCACGTCACTTGGAAGCTCCACCTTCCCTCAAGCCTTTCCCTAGTCCCCTCCGTACTGACAAATGCCACCCCTGGCTGGTCCACTTTCTCATCTCGGTGACACTAACCCTGGAAAGCTGCTGGTGTCATCCCCATTTGCTGTATGGAGAGACCGAGGCTCACCAGGCACAGCCACATGTCCTGGGGGGACACGTGGCCAACAAAGGCTTTGTTAGGTTTTGAAGTCCGATCCCGGAGTGGAGCTCCCCCCATGAGGTCCCGTCACATGGGGTCACTCATGGAGCTCTGATTCCTCCCTCCTGTTCTTAGTCACCATGCACTGAGCTCTAACTGTGCAGCACTCTGCTCTTTCCGTCTGTCGGTCTGGGTACCTGCCGGTGTAGCTCTCTGGCGACTCGTGGGCAGAAACACCGTCTCTCACCCCGTGACAGATGGAGCTGCATCCTAAGCCTTGCGGGGTCTGCTGGTCTCTCGGCCGTGGTGGGGCGGGCGCCCTTGGCTTTGCCCCCCGCTTCGAATGGACACTTGGTCAGACTTGTGTGCAGGCAAGCGTGGGCAGGTCTTTTTCTGTGGAGCCGTTAAGACCGCCAAGGGCAGATTGCTTAGACTCCTAGAGTTTCCCGGGAACTTTTAGGGATTGCATCTGACTTCTTTGTCATTGAGTCATTGAGGTGATGATGAGACTTGCCCCAGGTCACAGCGTTTCTCCTGAGGCCCCACAGACATAGGTGTGCGTGCCGCCCTGCAGGGCATGGTGCTTCTGTGACAGGCCTCTGGTACCTTCCGGGCAAGGTGGTTCTTGAGCTTAAACGAGGACCACGTGGAGAAGCTGCGGAGGCACACGACCCTCACGGAATCTCGTCCTTCCCTCTGCTGGCAGCTCTCACCTCACTCAGCTTCTCCCAAGCCTGCGGTTCTCTCTCCCCAAACCCGTGCCCGTCCCACCCTCTCGGCCAGTTGGAAGCTCATCCCCCTGGCAGCTCTCATGTCTTGTCGCCTGGCCGACCCCAGCCTCCCGTGGAGACTCTGGGCCATCTCCTCTGCCAGGCTTGAGCATAGGCCTGTGGGCCTCGGGGCAGGCGGGTCTCAGAGCCGAGAAGGGGCAGCCCACAGCCTCTGCTTTCTCCTCCTGGACATGTCAGCTTGGGCCCGAACCCACATGCCCTCTCATCTTGGGCTGGACCCACCAGCCTTGAAGGAAGGTTAGTGATGGTCTCTTGGCACCGGAGCGTGGCCTCTGGAGAGTTCACCCTTCCCCTTGTGGTGAGTTCAGGGGTTCGGGTTGATCAGGGGAGACACAGGACCAGGAGGGGCAGTAACAAGTGTTTGGCGGCATTTGGACAGCTCGCTTGAGAGGGAAAGTCCCTCCCGGCAAGGGGCCTTACAAAGTGATGTGTGACCACCACCCAGAAGGGAGGGAGAGTCGGACAGGGGGCTCATGTAGGTAGTGACGTCACTCGGGAGCACGGTGGGGAGCCTCTGGGTCATAGAACTCTCTCGTTTGAGGTCTTTTATTTTTATTTTTTAAAGATTTTTTATTTGTTTATTTGACAGAGAGAGACACAGCGAGAGAGGGAACACAAGCAGGGGGGAGTGGGAGAGGGAGAGGCAGGCTTCCCGCGGAGCAGGGAGCCCGATGCGGAGCTCGATCCCAGGACCCCGGGATCACGACCTGAGCCGAAGGCAGATGCCCAACAATGGAGCCACCTGGGCGCCCCTCATTTGAGGCCGCAGGGTTTGTCTGATCTATGGCTAGCAAATGTGGGGTGCAGTTTCGTGGGTGATGTAAAGTCGATGAACTCTAATTAGCTAGAAAGATGTTTATTTAGGGGGTGCCTGGGTGGCTCAGTCAGTTAAGCATCCGACTTTTGATTTCGGCTTGGGTCATGATCTCAGGGTCGTGAGATCGAGCCCCGAGTTGGGTTCCACGCTCAGCAGGGAGTCTGCTCAAGATTCTCTCTGTCTCTCCTCCTGTCCCTTTCCCCACTCACGCACACATATACTCTCTCTAAAATAAATAAGTAAATCTTTAAAAAAATAAAAAGGTGTTTATCTGAACTGTATTTAAAGCAACCGGATGTGTGAGAGCTTGAGTTTGGTGCTGGGGGCTTCGGGCTAATAATCCTACCTGCTATGCAGACGTGAATAACACAGGGGCCATCTCTGGTTTATGTATATAATACTCCCGATCCCTCAGTCTCTCTCCCTAGGTGGCTTATTAAAGAATTTCTTTCAGCCCTATGTGCCCATTGTCCCAAGAGTTCTGGTACATTCTTTTCCCTCAATCTCATTAGATAGTAATGCCTTAGTGTCTGGGTGATGCTCAGGCCTCAGACAGATGGTGCCCCAGGGAGGCTGCCTGCCTGGCTGGACCCTCGCTCTTATCACTTAGCCAGTGTCACTGTGAATCTTCACTGACTGCTGTCCCCAGCGTGGTCCTTCTAAAATCAGAATCTAAAATCCTGATTCTGCCATTGCCTGTCTTGGAAGACTTCACTCACCTTCCAGTTAGCAGTGTGTAACCTCTCTGGGGGTAACCGTGTACATTTACAGCAAAGCCCCCACCATCTAGGGGATGGATTATGATGGGTAATTCCATTTTCCAGATCACTGAGACTATGCCTCCTTCGAGCCTTGCTTGTTTGTTTTCAAATTTGATTGCTTTCGGTGCAGCTCTTCATCAAATATATTCTTTGTCATCTTAAATAGAAGCTTCTATGAGTACATGGTTTATTTTTTCAAAAGCCTTATTGAGATATAGTTCACACGCTATGCAGCCCGCCCACTGATCTTACTTGTCTCTTCCACCTCCAAGACCGAGCCCGGTGTCGGCAATAGAGCAGGTGTCGTAAATCGTTGTTGGGCTGAGCTGGAACCACACTTCAGATCACCTCTCTTGGAGAAGTGTCTTCTAAGTCCACAGTGCCCCTCTGTGCCTGATGATATGCCCCAACACCGGAGGGTCCCGGGCTGCTGATGTTTAAATTCCTCACGTGGGTTTTTCGTACTTCTGTTGGTCCTCCCTTCCTTCCTGTGGCCAGCTGCAGTCACTGGGCCTGCCTCCAGCGACACCAGAGCCCCGGGCCACTGCCGCTGCAGCTTGCTGGAATGGCGTATAAACGAGAGCGCCATGCTCTTTACGCTTAGGGGATGCGACACCCTCCCACCGCCCGGCCCTCACTCGTGGGACGACAATCCTTTATTTCCCTGTGGCTGATCAGGGAAGGGAGGAGCAGGACCCCATAAAGAAGGGGTATAAGAAGACATAGCTTCTACAAGATTGCTGAGCAAGCAAGGAAAATGAAGGCTGGAGAGGTGAGGGAATTTGTTCAAGGTCACGCCATGGGCTGCTGGCGGAGTCGAGACCAGGTCTTTCCTCTGTGCTGTTGTGCTCACCAGCCTTTCAGGAAGTGACTCTCCTGCCCTCTCTCTCTCCCTCTCAGGGGTCCTCGGTGAAGTTTGTCATGGTTATTTAAGGAACCTCACCTAGAAGTCCCAACACGCATTTCCCCATCGACGGGAAGGCTTGGACTCCAAGATGATTATAAAGGAATATCGGATTCCTCTGCCCATGACCGTGGAGGAGTACCGCATCGCCCAGCTGTACATGATACAGGTGGGTCTTGGGGCCAGGGCGTGCTCCCCACGCCCTTGGGGGGCAGGGAGGTGGCATCGCGGCCTTGACAGCCCAGTGTCTGCCCAGCAGGCTCCTGGTAAATGTGTGAACTGCATGGCATCTGGCTTCCCAGCACGACGCCAGGAACACAGGAGCGCGGTGGGTGTTTGTGGCACTGGGTTGCCTTGTCGGCGCTGCATTTGGTCCTAACACTGCATTTAATACCGACCTCTCACGGATTCAGATACTATCTACGTGTTCGGTCAGCTTGAGCTGCTATAACAAATACCACAGACTGGGGGCTTAGACGACAGACATTTATTTCTCAGCGTTCTGAAGGCTAGAAGCCCAAGGTCAAGGTGCTGGCAGAGTGGTGTCTGGTGAGGGCCCTCCTCCTGGCTTTGCCTGGATGGCCACCTTCTCACTGAGTTCTTGATGGTAGAAGGGGCGAGGGGGCTCTCCGGTGTCTCTTCTGGGAGGGCACTAATCCTACTGTGAGGGCTTCATCCTCATGACCTTATCATCTCCCAAAGCCTGACCTAGTACCATCACATTGGAGGTTGGGGGCTTCAACATACGAATCTGGAGGGGACACAAAAATTCAGTCCATTTGACAGACAGGAAGGTGTGAGCCAAAGAAGGTCAGTGACTTGCCTGGGAGCACCTGGCCTATTTTCTGGTTCCCTAGGCTGCCTGCAAGACAGCAGTATCCACCATGTGGCTGATTTATAGTCACAGATGAGTTTGAGAATGACCGATTCCTATGACAAGCCAGAGGATACCATGCGCCTCTCCTCCACCCCCCACCCAGACGTTGGGGGCCTCCCTACTCAGAGCCTGGCTGACCTGGGACACGGAGTGGGAAGACCCGGGATCGGGTTGCAAGTGGCCCAGATATGACCACGCTCCTACTCGCTGGGGTCCTGCTCCTCAGGGGAGGTCCCCCTCCCCAGCTGCCCTGCCAGCACTGTGCTCATCCTTTGTGCCCCCTTGGCCCGGCCGGGCAGCTTTCCTCCCAGTGAGGAGTCTGATTACGAACCTGCTCTCACCTGGCTCTGCTCTTCTGGGCATACAGATGCCTCGGTGCCACCCCTAGACCATGGTGTCACATGCCCTTGGTGCAGGGAGAGCCCCGGCCGGCAGGGCTCCACCTCCACCCCTGGAACTGCTCGGTGGGTGCACACCCATCCACCTGGGTCTAGGGAGTTAGTAACGAGCTCCCTGCAGAGCCCAGACCCCTAGTCCCTTCTGGAAGGAGCCCCATGAAGCTACCAGAGTTTGAGCAGCAACCCCCCAGCATGGGGAGCTTGAGTAGGAAGAGAACGGGAGGTGAGCCAGCCTCTCTGGGAGACTGTTGGCTCCCCCTGCTTCAGAAGTGCCACTCGGTTCCCTCTTGAACCGCTCACCCCGTAACTATTCCTAGAGAGCGGGGGGAGGAGAAGCGACTCACCTCGGCCCCCCAGCTCTGAGCTATCTGGAAATTGCTCAGCCTGTTCAAGGATGCTGTTCATCCTGCGGCTCCCCAGTTCCCACCCAAGCCAGGGGGGCCCAGACCGTGGCAGGCCTCCCCCCAGCTCCACCGTGCCCGCCAGCTGGCGGCCGTGGGCCTCAGGATCCAGGGGCTCACTTTTAGCTCCTAGGATATCCCACAGCTTTTTGGAGCATGTGAACACCTCTGACTGGGCTCCTCAGAAGCACCTGCCATCCTCAACCCCTTTTTTTGAGGTATTTTGTTCTTTTCAAAACATCTATCCTTACGCTTCCAATTAATGTTCAATATCCTATAGCCCCCCTATGTGATCCCTCCTATGGGCCCGGGGCTGCCTGTGTGTGTTCGCTCATCGGGGCCCCACTGACACCTGTCTGTCTCTCCAGGCGACCTTCCTCTGCTCCTGCTTTGGCACTGTCTTACCTACCACTGGCCTCTGAACTCCTGGGGGCGCCATCCACCATGGGGGGTGATGGACGAGCATATTATCTCCATTGTGTGACAGTTTGACGTGTGCAAACATGCATCCCAGCTCACCAGCTGCATCTTTACATATATGTGGTTGGCTGTGTGCCAATCATATCTCAGTAAAGCTGTTAAAACACTAAGTCAAATGCAGACTTTTCTGGGCCCAGCCTGGGCGGAGGGCTGGGTTACTGAGAAGAATGGAAAGAGCTTCCTGCTCTCCAGGAGTGCCATCGGGGAGGTGGATGTGCGTGCAGCTTACCGAATGTAGGCCAGGAGACAGGGCGCGGATGTTCACGGGGGCCTCGGGCCAGCGGCCCCGGGAGAGCCTCCACTGTGAGCTGGGCCTCACACGGTGGATAGGCCCTCAAGGAAGACAGCTGTGTTTCTGTGGAAAGAAGAGGAAATTTAGTTTCTTTGCTCCTGCCCAGCTTACCGGCTGGGGTGGCCGCTAGCAACGGGTCTGCCTTCTGAACTCACCACCTCCTCCATGGGCTCGTGAGTGAGGTGGGATGAGCTCACGTGTCAAACTGCTTCATGCTGTGCCTGACCAGCGCTCAGTATACATGCTGTTCAAGGCAACAACAACAAAAAGAAGAAGAAGAAGAAGAAGGAAAGAAGAAGAGTTGTTCTGGCTGGGAGAGAGCCTTCCATCACCCGTGGAGGTGCTCAGCAGATGCTTGCCTTGGAGGGAGTGACTGGAGGTGGCTTAGCCAGGACCCTGGACAGCTCCAAGAGCGGCTCCTTGGGAGGGGGCCTTTGAGTCCTTCATCCCGTGCTTTTTCTGCCCAGGCCCATGGTGGCTCAGGTCCCTACCATGCAGCCCCCAGATCCCACAGGATGGGGGAGGGGGGAGTTCCCCACTCAGCCTGTGTGGGCAGGGGTCATGAGTCAGGCCTCCCCCTGGGCACATGTGTGCCCCTGGGGAGCTGGGCTTGTCTCTGCTGCCTTTCTGCAGTCTCCCTGGGAGGCTCCACAGCGCAGCTTGTGGGAATGGTTGGCAAGGGTGGGGCCGGTGGCTTCTGGTGTGGGCAGAGAAGGTCAGCACGATTCGAGAAGAGCTTACTCCTCTGTGGCATGACTGAGAGCCTCAGCTGAGCAGGGGACTGGGCACCCCCGGATGCCATTGCCAGAGGGGAGCCAAGGGTCAGCCCTTTGGGATGTTAGCTCCAAAGTTGGAGGAGGTGCCCAGGCTCAGAGGGAACCAGTGATAGTTGAGACCAGGACCCATTTGTTCATCCAGCTGATCTTTACTGTGCAGGCGGGGAAGAAAGTGCTTTGCAGGGAGTACAGATGCACTCCCGGTCTGGGTCGCCGCGGCTCTGCCACTGCTCACTGTGGCCCGTGTGGCCCCAAATGGCCTGTGTTATCCATCTCCCATGAGTGACTTGTGTCCCCCCAAATTCACATTCACCCAGAACCTTAGACTGTGACCTTATTTCGAAGCAGGGTCTTTGCAGAGGTAATTAGTTAAGGACCTTGAGATGAGATCATCTTGGATTGAGAGTGGGCCCTAAATCTAATGACTGTTGTCCCTATAGGAAGAGGAGAAGACAGAGAAAAGGTGAAGGTCATGTGACGGTGGAGGCAGAGAGCAGAGTGATGTGGCCACAAGCCTAAGAATGCCTGGGGCCCCTGGACTGGAGGAGGCAAGGCAGGGTCCTCCCCTAGAGCCTCCAGAGGGAGCTTCTGGGATGGACATGCTGGCTTTCTTGGGCAAGGAGTCTGAGGACAACTCAGGCTCAGGTCACCTGAATGGGCAGAGGCTTCTGTGCAGCCCTACGGAGGCCGATAGGACCCTCCCCACCCCTGCACCCTGTCCCCTGTCTCTTCTCCACCGTTGGCTCCCCGGCAGGCTGGGCACCCCACTTCAGCCCTCGGACACTCCATGTAGCCCTAGCTCCTCTGACCTGCATGTCCCCTTCTCACTGAGCCACCCCGAATCCCAGATGTGTTTGTTTCCTGGGGCCGCCATAATAAAGCACCACAAACTGGGGGGCTTAAAGCCACAGAAATGTGTTCTCTCACAGTTTGGAAGCCAGAAGTCCAAAATCAAGGTGTCAGCAGGGTTTGCTCCCACTGAAGGCTCTAGGGGAGGATCCTGCCCTGCCTCCTCCAGCCTCTGAGGGCTGCCGGGGTTCCTTGGCTTACAGCTGCATCCCTCCCATCTGTGCTTCTGTCTTCACTTCTTATAAGGACATGGTAGGACATGGATTGGATGTAGGACCATAGATTGGATGTAGAATTTTGGAAACTGACACCAGAGAGAAGTGACTCGTCCAGGATGAGAGGGAGCTGGTCACAGAGTTGGGACTAGAATGCACGTCTTTGCTCAATAAAAAATCGGGTACCTGCCTTGTGCCAAGGTGTTTTCATGCTGTGGGCTGAGCAGGCCCCAGAGTCAAACAGATCTCGAGTTCTGGCCCGGCTCCGCCACCTGGAAAATGTGTACCTCAAACAAGTCACTCCAGCTCTCTTAGCCCCTGTCTTCGCATCTGCAAACTGGGGACAGGAGCATACTGCACCTTTCTCAAGGGGTTGTTGCCATCACGAAAGGAGAAAGTACATGGAAAGAAAGCACTTGGCACAACCATAACAAATGAAGCTACCGCAAGAGGCAGGAGCTCACAGAATCTGGGCCACATTCCAGGGGCTCCTTTAAAGAGTGAGGGATGGTGCGTCCCCGCGGACCCCATCTGTGCCCTCCACCGGGGTCTTTCCTCTTTTTTTTCTGAAGGGGAGTCAGCTGCTCTGGGCCACGGAGATATAGCACATCCTTGTGCCCTAGGGGTGAGGCCGTGCTCTTGGGAGTGCCTGTGTGTGTGTGTGCATGGGTGTGTACACTTAGGAGTGTGTGTGTGTGCATGTGCACACCTGCTGTTCAGGAAGCTGACCGAAGATGGCCTCAGCGATGGCGTCATGTCACCGTGGAAACAGATGCCGGGCTTAAAGTCACTGGGACCTTGACCACGAGGCTTTCTGCATAAGCAGAAACCTGAGCTTTTGGACACTGGGGAGAACATTTGTGGCAGAGAGACACTCAGAGGTGACCCAGGCATTGTCCCTCTCAGGTGGCGCCGCTGAGGCCCCTTCCCGCACCCCGTGTTCGAGCTCTCTGAAACCCTAGTGAGTACAGACGCAGCGTTGGTTTCTGTTTGTGTGTTTTATACCAGCTTGATTGAGATGGAAGTGGCATACCACATAATCCGCACATTTAAAGCGTACAGTTTGGGGGTTTTTAGCAAATTCATAGAGTTGTCAAACCGTCACCACGATTTTAGAGCATTGTCATCACCCCAAAGAAGAAGTCACTCTCCGTCCCCCCACCCCATCCCCAGGCAACCAGTAATCTGCTTTCTGTCTCTATGGATTTGCCTGTTGTAGAAATTCCTTATCAGTGGGTTTGGACGCTATGTGGCCTTTCGGGTCGGGCTTCTTGCACGTTGTTTTCAAGGCTCATCCACGTTGTGGCAGGTGACAGCACCTCCTTCCTTCTTATGGCTGAATCATAGTGCATTGTGTGGATATAACTTGTTTATCCATTCTTCAGATCACGGACATTTGGGTTGTTTCCACCGTTTGGCTCTTGTGAACAATGCCGCTGTGAACAGTCGTGTACAAGTTTCTGTGTGGAAATATTTTCCTTTTCCTGGATGTATACCTAGCACTGGAATGGCTGGGTCATATGGCAGTTCTATGCTGAGCTTTTTTGAAGAACTGCCAAACTGTTTTCCACAGCAGCTGTACTGTTTTCTCTTCCCATGAGCAGTGTGGGGGGTGGGGGATCCAGTTTCTCCACATCCTCACCAGCACTTGCTATTGTCTGTCTTTTTAGCCATCCTACTGGGTCAGGATTGGTATCTCGTTGTCGTCTTGATTTGCATCTCCCTAATGATTAGTGATGTTGAGCATCTTTTCATGTGCTTGTTGACCATTTATATACTTCTTTGGAGAAATGTCTATTCAAGTCCTTTGGCATTTTTAAATTGGGTTGCTTCTTTGTTGTTGAGTTGTAATAGTTCTTTAATATTTTAGATACATTATTATCAGATATTATCAGATATATTATTTACAAGAATTTTATCCCATTCTGTGGGTTGTCCTTTTACTCCCTCCATAATGTCCTTTGATGCACAAAAGTTTAAAAATTTTTATAAAGTCCATGGGGTGGGAGGGATGGGGTGACTGGGTGATAGACACTGGGGAGGGTATGTGCTCTGTTAAGCGCTGTGAATTGTGCAAGACTGTTGAATCTCAGATCTGTACCTCTGAAACAAATAATGCAATATATGTTAAGAAAAAAAAAAGAAGAAGAAGA